TAGTATGTATATATAAGAATATAATATTAGTGGGATCATAGCTCAACGGTAGAGCATACAGCCGATAATTGTAGTATGGTGGTTCGATTCCCCCTGGTCCTATAGTTAAATTAATAGATAGTCGTTTATTCGCGCTATAAGAGACAGACATATCACAACATTAAAAGCAATATAAGTGACCGTGGTCACTACTCTACATGTTTATACTCTGAATAGGGTATTATAACTTCTATAATTAAGTAGAGAGCTATTCTAGTAGCAATAAATAATTTAATTATGACAATCTTTACATCACCATTAGAGCAATTCGAGGTAACTTCTTTCGTTGCTCTTAACGCTCCATTACTTGGAGGAATCAACTTATCATTAACTAACCTAGGATTCTACTCATTAGTAGTTCTAGTATTAGCGATCGGAGTACACGTACTTGGATCAAACGACCGACGACTTGTACCTAGCCGATGGTCTATCGGACTAGAGTCATCATACGCTTCATTACACGGTATGGTTAAGGAGCAAATTGGATCAGCGAACGAGATGTTCTTACCATTCATCTACTCACTATTCTTCTTCATCATCCTTGCCAACCTAAACGGTAACGTGCCATACGGATACACATTAACAACTTCAATCATCGTTTCAATCGGACTTAGTTTCACTATCTTCTTCGGAGTTACAATTCTAGGACTTTACCGACACGGTGTGCACTTCTTCTCATTCTTCGTACCAGCTGGAACACCATTAGGAATGGTTCCATTACTAGTACTAATTGAGTTAATCTCATACCTAGCTCGAGCTTTCAGTCTAGGAGTACGGCTATTCGCTAACATGGTTGCTGGTCACACTCTACTTAAAATCTTAAGTGGAATGCTATGGCCTATCTTAACATCAGGTATCGTAATGTTCTTCGTAGCACTACTACCTATGGCTATCTTCTTAGCTCTAGTAGGACTAGAGATCGCCGTAAGTTTCATCCAAGCTTACGTATTCGTAGTTCTAACTTGTGTTTACCTACGAGACGCAATCGACCTACACTAATCTTTTTCCTCCTTTATAACAATGA